TACGTAGTCTGTCGTATAATCTTTCTCAACATTTATATATGTTTTAACTATTAACTCACAATTTTATGAGAAACGCAAACAGGAGGTGTTAAATCTGCTCAACATCTATACGAGATCAAAATTCTGATCGGAACATCTTTATTATGTTACAGGAATAACGACTCCTGGCAAAGGAAAGTTTTTAATACTTGACACACGGGACGACTTAACATGCATTAACTACTCAATTGGGTTTCGTTGTAGCAGTTGTATATGTGTTTGTTGTTTCAAACTGCGTTTGCAAAGGTGATTTGTTCGATTTCCAAAATTTTTGTTTTTTTTTCGTTGTACTCACTCACATTATTCAATGTGATTCACTTTTCTTCTAAGAATTTATATGCTTTCTTACTGATTTCAAAATGGTAACATCTAACTTAAATTTTCTCATGCCAATAGGGAATTCAGTCCTTTGCAATTTGAAAAGTGGTCATCCCGCAGAATGATTTTCATTTAATTAAGGAACTCAATTTCCAGATCCATAGATCTTATATTTCGTATAAAAGTGGAGTTCACATTATATTTTAAACGAATACATAACTATATTGAAATTGTTCAGGGAAAAAACAAACCTCATCGAATATAAACTCATTTAGATAAAGCACTGAAATGCTGATTGCTGTCATGAAGAAAATCATATATTGATATCCAACAAGTAACTACAACTAATTATAATTTTAGATAACCACATTTGCTTATAACAAAAAATTGAAGTCAACTTGAAACACTTTAACCAAAAATTTAGAAATCCCTATATTCACAGAATGAGTTTACCATCACCTGAAATAATAAAAACGAAATATATCACATACGGGTGAAGATTTAAAGCAACTAATATTGAATCTTTGCCAAGTTTTAGCAACGTAGAATCACTATGCTAACAGATGTTATGATCCAGAAGCCTAGACATTAACGAACACTGATAAGAATGTTGCGTTGGATTGGCAACGAGCAATAAATTATATAAAACAATGAGTTGTACAAACTTTACAAACACGACGTTGACATAATTAAAGCTTGATCTTATCGTGCAAATGAAAGTGCTACGGTTAGAAAGATGTTTAATACAGAATCCGCTATTGGAGAACCAGATAGAGAACGTCGTCCGCATCTTCGGTGAAAATACTACATGTCCAACAATTTTAAGGCGCTTAGTAACTGACTGGCGATAGTAATCCACTGATGGAGTTAGCTGGCGGAGGCTACTGGACACGAACAAGGACGACCAACATCTGTTATGGCCAAGTAAGTAAGGCAGTTTCAGCAATTATGGTACATAGAGAAAAGATTAGTAGGTCAATAATTTATTTATAATAATACTAAATAATATATATACTATATGTACTCCAAAATGTTATTACATTGTGAACATTACAAATCTGGGTACTTTAGCATTGGCTTTGTAGTCTAAAGATGCTTACGACTTTGGAACCGTTGTTAATCGCACACATATATCAATAGCTTGACATTTTTCGATGAAAGAATGAAAAAATGTCGACAATAAACAATCGGGGAGGACTTTGTAGATCAGATCAGCCAAGATTTTATTACATGAAGTCGCATAGATTTATATTGAAATATTTTGTCATCATATCCCTATACCCTTAGCTTCACTTTTGTAAGCACAAGAACAAAACATCATCGATATCAAACATTCGTGAGAATAGTAAAAAAAATCATACTATTTATTAAGTTCTCATCAACAAATAATATGGCAGAAGCGATAGATATTATAATGGAAGTCTTTAACAGTGTTACCAAGTAAAAAAATATGTTTTGTTTTTGTTTTGTTGAATATATGTAATACATCAATTTTATTTTAATAGTTATTTATTTATTTCAACAATAATTTAATCTTACATTATCTACTTATATTTCTTCAAAAATATTTACTTTATAGTAGTGTATTCCAACACTGCTCCATAAAATAAAATATATTTTTTCTTACATTATTTTTAAATAACTGATAAAAATATAAGTTATACATTATTTGAATTTTAAATCGTATTTCATTTAAAATGAAAAATAAAAAAATTTAATTTAACAAAAATACAAAATTCATTATTTTAATTTTTTTTTTGCTGTACATTTAATTATAACGTATCAAAATATACAAAATAAATAAAAATTATATTTTTATTTCTTATGTTTCTATTTTTTATTTTTTCTTTACTAAAATATTAGTTCCGGTTCCTGCAAACGATTTCGTGTATTTTTCAGTCCATCTCTTTGATATCTCTTTTGACTCCTCACAATAACGGACAAATTATTACTGCTTTTACTAGCAAATCCAAAAGCTAAAGAAATTCTCCGGTAGTTGTACGACATTCAATCGATTAAAATCCTGTCAAAGGCCTATACAGTCCACAGTACGCACTGCCTTATAGGGTTTCTGATATCCCTTTCGCTCTCTTACAGAATAACATACAAATTATCACTACTTTTATTAGTAAAGCCAAAAACTGAAGAAATTCTCCGGTATTTATACGATTTAACTCCACCAAAGGCCTGTGCCTTTAAGGCACCTGGTTAAGCCAATTTTTTTAATTATCTTTTATAACTTTATATATTTCATATTTTATAAAGGTTGGAACTGTTAGAAGAAATCCTTCACCGCATTTATCAATAATTCTTCTTCTTGATTTATACATAATAATAAAACTTTTCCCTCGTTTTTTTTTTTTTTGTTTTTTTTTTTTAAATAAATGTTACACGCGCTCTACATTATGTTAACTACTAACTTTTATTTATTTACATTGACTTTTATTTTTTTATTGGTCTTTGTTTTTGCCTTAACTTTAGCTTGTTGCATTTTGTTTGTGATTTAAAAAAATTGAACATCAAAACAAAAAAATAAAAAAGAAAATAAATAAAAAAAATATAGAAAATAAATTTGAAAAAATAATAAAAACGAAGTAAGAAATTCGCAAATGAGGAATGAAGCAAAATGGACGATGGAAGTAAACAAGCCGACATTCAAACACACAAACAATATATTAATATAAAATTTGAAAAAAAAAAAAAAATAACAAAAACAAAAACAATAACAATAAAGTTGGTATCAAAGCAAAATACTTAACCAAATAAATGCTTTCTTACCCTGACCACCGCTTTTGCAATAACAACAACCAACAGCCAACAATTACTCTCCAGCGCGGCGCAAAACAACATGCATGCAAGGAGCCAGCCAATATCAAATTTTCACGACCATTCCAATTCCACGCTTTTCAATATTATTGCCATAGGGTTTGAGTTGTTGTCGTTGTTATTGTGGTTGTTATTGTTGTTGTTGGTTGGTAGTGTGGCTTGCAGCGTGTTTCGTTTGCTACTTTTCTTGCCTTTTGCCTTTTGTTTTTTCTTGTTTCTTTTTTCTTGTGTTTTTTGTTTTTTATTTTGTTTCTTGCTTGTTTAGTTTGGTTGTTAATGTCTGTTTTTGGCCATTTGCAATGCTTTTGTTATTTTACTCATTTTATTCAAGTGGCCTATTCTCTTTCTTCAGTTTTCTTTATATTTTCACTTGTTTTTTGTTATTGTATTAATTTTTTGCATTGTTCCATTCACTTTTGTGTTTTTTTTTTTTGATTTGTTATTTGGAAAGTTTACTACTAGTGCCGGAAAGCATAAGAAGTAATGAAATGCAAACTTCAGACAAATTCTTTCTTTCTTTTATTATTTTTTTTTTCAAACTTTTTTGTTTTGATTACTTTTCTTATAGTAACATTATGAAGGAAATAAATCTTTTGATTTTTGAAAGACTTTAAATATGTTGTAAAAAAAATAAAAATTAAAAATTCTTTTAGAAATTAAAATTAATATAAATATATTAATTTGTAATAAAAATGATATAAAATTATGATAAACTAAAAAAATTACTTAATATTTTTGTTTAAAACTCTTTTGCTATGTTATTAACAAACTGTCATTTTTAATATTATTTAGATAATTGATAAATTAATTAAATGTTAGATAAATTAATAGGTAAAATATTGTCGTGTTGATAGGAAGTTACACTAAAAAACTCTACTTAAATATTTTTACCAATATAATATACTAATACTATATAGTAAGAATTATTATATATATATTATTAATATTACATTAACATACTGACACTAAAAGCTAGCAGTTTTTAGTTTCCATTTAATTTTAAATAGTAAAAAGACTTAAATCTTAATAAACTAAGTTCTAAACAGGTTTAAAACTTTTAATAATAATTAAATTAAATTTTTTAAATATTAAAATTAAATTTTCTAAATATAAATTATGCAAAATAACAATGTGTCAAAAATAAGAATTTTTTTCTAGTAATTATTTTTTTTCTTACTAACAATTTGTTCTAATATTTTTAACCACTTTAGCTACTACATTAATTAATGATGTTTTTATAATAAAAATACGTTTATTAAACAATATTCTCACAGCAACGACCTCAAATAGGGAATGACCTATGGTAATGTGAAAACCACTTGTATGAAAATCCAGTAAAATATTGTCATATATGGAAATATGCATTGCAAATCTATTCATATCAGAAATCGATGACAAAAGTCTCGAATTTTATAGAAAATCAATGCAGAAAACCTTTGTAGCGATTAATTTATGGTTGATTAACCAAAAAGATTTTATTTAATTATTTTCGAAACTAACATTTTTAACATTTTTTATATAAAAATAAATCATTATAATTTTGTATATAATGAGCAATAAATAAAAAAATAATTATTATAAATATATGGAGCATTTTTTCAGCTCCTGGGTTTCGCATTGATTATATTAATTCCTATAAAACGTTATAAATTATTTGCTTTAATGCAGTCACAGTTGTTGATGATAATATTGCAAAAAATAAAAAATGAAATTTTAAATTTTATTTTTCTTGCATTTTAAAAATATAAACATTTTATATTCAAACACTGGCGGCGGGCGACCAAATTTAGTTTAAACGTATGACTTTTTTTTCTTACCTTTGTTTTAATGTATTTTTCAGCGGTATTGGTAACTGCTCAGTTGCTGCGCTGCTAGCGTTGTAGTCTTTTGCATAATTTGCTTTGACCGCTTAAAACTTTCTGCGCTCTGCACGCAAAAATAACATTAAAATGAAAATAATAAGATATCTGCTGAAATTATCAGTTCAGTATATATTTCTCTTGTATTGTACACTTTTTCACACAATCAATCTAACGTCACGATGTCAAATTTTCTTTATAAAATTGTTTCCACATATGTAGTAGATATGGTATAATATGAATTCTAACCTTTAATTGCATTTAATTCATTTATCTGTTCCAACAATTAACGATTTCTGTTTTAACAGTAAATAATTATTTTCTTTCACTGTTTATGATTGCACTTTTGAAATTTTCAATTTTATTTTAATGAATTTTTCAATTTAATCTTGCGACGACGCAACACTAGACATAGAGGAATTTTGCTGGCAAAGAGGAATCCGAATAATTAGAAATGGATTTTTCACTTCGTATTTTCGTTCATTCGCCATTTTCGTTCAGTTGGCCTTCGTGTTACTTCGCACGTTGTTGTTCTTGCCGTTTCGTTTTAACACATTTGTTTTGCATTTAAGTTATTTATCGATTTTCTTTTTTCGTTGTGCAGTACACTACTATTGTGGTTTTCTCATTCTACCGTACTCGACCGTACTTGGTCGGTTTGTAGTTTTCTTTTTTATATTACCCCTCTTTTTTCTTTTTCAATATTTCACTATTTTTGGATTATGTTGGTGTGCGTGCTTTTCATTTCATTTTATTTCATTTTTTATTTTATTAGAAAGATATTCCGCTCTTCTTCTCTACCTCGTTTATTCCTTTTTTGTTTTTAGCATACAAATTTTTATTTTAATTAAAATTGAAAAGTTAGCAACAACACTATATGTGCATAAAGACACTAGCATTCTGTGTGCCAAACCTAAAACACTCACTAGTCCCTGTATAATTTGCAAATAATTTTCTCAATTTAAAATAAAAATTTAATTTAATTTCTAAAATTAAAGCAAAAACATTACTTCTATTCCGTATTATATTTTTTTACGTTTAATTTATACAATTCCTGACCTATGTTTAATTTTGCTTTGCTAATCTGCTAAATGCAGTGAGAAAAGTTCCAAATTTTTTTATTTGCACAACGAATAATATTTTTTAAACTATTTTATGCAGAGAATGTTAATTAAATCTTTAATTTACACAATATTGAAATTTCAAATTTCATAAAATAACAACAAAACATTGCGTTGTGCCACAGTGATAGTTGGATAATTTTTAGAATATTGTTTTAGAACTGGGAGAAGTGCGCTAATATATTTAAATTAAAAACAATTGATTGTGAATACATTTACAGCGAAGAGCCAAAGAATTGCAGTGTATAATATTTAAAGAGGAAATCTAATTGAAGACAATCTAAATAGCACAGAGATTGCAACTATGAATGTTGTATATTGAAGACCACAGAAATAAATATATAAATCATTTTTGGGAATATTTATAAATTTGTGTGGGTTGCATTTGTTTTATTATTTTGCATATTTCTGCATTCATATTAACTTTAAAATTATTTTAAGTAAAACATACAAAATGTAAACACACAGCACTTTTGAAAATTTGTTTTTAAGGCATTTTACACAACATCTAATAAACACAAAAAATGTTTACTCAATTGCAAAAGTAATTAATAATTAATTTTTCATATTTACTCTTGTTATTTATTAATAAAATTGACAATTTTTTTATTTGTTTTTGTCTTTATTTAAAATAAACTCGCAGCACAACAAATGAACAAAACGGAGCCAACACACATGCGAAGCTTACAAGCATAAAATCTACTCTACGTAGCGGGCCAATAAATTATTAAACAAGAATTTTTATTCTATTTGGCGTCCTCTTTTGCGTTACACATGTCCGATTGTTTTTGCAATAAGAAAATTTTAACAAACTAAAAAGAAATATTTGGATAAAGATGATTTACAAGTAAAAAGAAAATTTGTCCGGTTTTTTCCTGTGTGGTTGATTTTTATTCTGAATTTCTTCTTCTACTAATCGTCCTACTTGAATTTTGACGCTTACATTTTATATTTGCTCAACACTTTACTATTTCTCTCTCATTTTTACTAATCACAGCCATACGGCAGTAGAATGAAAGAAACCGAAGTCATGTTGCTCGCTATATGCCAAACAGACCACATGTGTGGGCAACTATTTTATATGAAATTAATATTGTGCAACATTTAATTTTCTATTAGGAATATATTATGTTTATATTATTAAAAGTAATTTTATTTTTATTTTATTTTACATTTGGCAGAACCCGAGTTCAAATACTGGTACTTGCAGTTTCAAAAAATAATTATTTACGAATAATTAAATACAAGAATTATTTCTAAGACCACTGATAATGGGTATTTGACAATACTCGAAACAGCTGTATGGTCAGCCAAAAATTCAATTAATTAAAATAATATAAAAATAAATTTTTGTTGTTGTATTTCACTACTGTTCGAAAAAACCTCTTTAAAAAAATTAATTTTATAAATTTAAAAATAGTTTTATATAAACAGTTTTATTATACTTCAGCTTGAGTGAAAATTTTAGCGAAATTAAATTATTTTTTCCATACAAAATTCGGTTTTAGGGTTAGAACGAAATTAAAGAAAATGGCCCTAATTTCGTTGAAACGAAGGTTGAAATAAAAGGACATTTCAAATGCAACTATGCAAAAGATAAATTTAAAACAGAAGAAAAAGTTGAAAAAACGAAAAAGTGACAGCTGACTTTAATAAAACCGGGTTAATATTTTGAATAAAGTGTAAATTTTAATATTTGAATATGGAATGAAAAATAATAATCTACATACCTGCAATCCATTAAAGCTAATAAAACCGCTGAATACCATCCTTTATAGATATGATAATCAACTTTTAAAATTTCCCAGATACATATGTTGTTGTGAGCATATAATTTTTAATATTCGATTTCTAAGCAAAAAATATATGATTTCCTTAATTTGGGGCAGTATGAATACTTTCCAAATTAACTTGATTTCATTTTAAAGAAATTAAGGTAATTTGGCTGTCTAAACATAGTATAAAAAAGATATGCAAAAATAAATACAATAATTATTATTAGAAAAGGTATAATGCTTATGTTATTAAAAATAATTTAATAAAATTAAAAATATTTTAGCTTCAATTTCTTTTTAGAAAATTTGTTAAAGAATTAAATTAAAATGTTTAAATTTAATTTCCTATTTGGTAAAAACATGCAAAAATATTTACTATATTAATCATTTATGTGAAGAAAAATTTTTAATTTATACATAATGTAAAAAATAACAATATTGATTAGTGTAGTAAATTCAGAAACTAATCCTATTACACCGACGTTAGAAGTTAGGTCCTTAATTTTGAGAAGTGATCGGCCTAAAGCGATTTATATAAATAATATAAGAATATAAAAGTGAGGTTAAATTATTATGGTGCTTCTTAGGTCTGTATAGTATGTTTCCACTGCCTTCGTTAGACCAATTTGTTGAGTTAATACTTTGTTTCCACTGATTATCCAAGTAAGTTACTTAAGTGGCTTTAAGATTTTGTCGTTTAAATTGACACAAGTTACTTAGAACATGTAAAAGAGGTTTTATATGTCAAAAAGTTCTAATTGTAGAGCTTTTCTTTGTTCACACTTCAATTCTAAGCAGATGATATTAAGTTTTGTATTGCTAGAAGAAAATAACTCGGCATGGAAAACACAGGAAATGCAAAGAATTTAATATATAATGTTTGTAATATTCTTCACGATGTGAATGCAGCACTTGTTGCATATACAAAAGCACGTCCAATGATTTATAAAAAATTACGAACTATTCAAAAACAAAATATATAAACTATTCAAAAAATAATAAATAAATAAATTTCTCACAAGGGATATTACCCAAATTTGAAATAAATTAGTTGTAAACAAACATACTGAGAAAGTAAGTATTTAATAAAATATACATAAAATTTATATAATTGATTTATCAATTATATAATATATAATTGATATATATCACTTATATATTTAATTCTTTTGTGTGATATATTATAAAGTGAAGTCTATTTATTACAAGTGGATGGCGATTTCAACATTTTTAAAATAAATATGCAATACAAATTTAAAAAATTAATTTAATTTGGAAGAAAGTAAATAATTATAATTTTTTCCGATATATTGCACGTTTTCCACGTATTTTCTGTATGCACCTATTGCTTTATTCATTTAAGCATCTATAATAAAAATAATATTATTTTACAAAAGCAATTAAGATTATTTTATTAATGCCGAAACAAAAATATTAACTTCGTTTTTTATTTAACCACAATAGAAATTGTCAAATATGAAAAGAAATGTCAAACATGAAAAGTAAAATAAAAGTCGGTATGCAAATAGAAGTTAAAGTGTTTACATCTGTTTTATTTGCTGCTCTGATAGAAATAAATCATAAAATTTATTTATTAATATTTAAACAAAAAATTATTAAAAATTGATGCTAAAACAAATGCAATATATTATCATAAAAAAATGTTCTAGTAATGACTGAATAATGAACAAAAAGTTATTTTTGTCACCAATATGTCATACAAGCTTCCGCGCCATCTTACGGTAGAGTTTGATTTGATAATCAATCTGACTATGCTTTCTCACCAATAAAAATTTACAGCGATATTCATTATTAAAAATATTGCTAAAAATGAATTGTAGTTTTTGTACAAACATATATATATGAGTATATTTGTAAGAGACGTTATCATATATATATTTGCGAGAGATATTGTAACATAATCCCATCTTAGGGGGGGCGCTGCAGTATGTGTGGAATGTTTGTCACATCTGTAGAATTTAATTTTTACAATTTTTCATTGTGGCAATTTGTTTGTCAACATTCATCCTACAGATATGAATGTTATTTTTGATATTTTTTTCAGTTAAATCTATTGCTGGTTGAATTTTAATATAAAATAAAAACTTTTATTATACAGGATTATACTAGTTTATTATTTCAAATAATAAACTTAAATTTATTATTGTTGTTATTTATTGATATTAATTTGTATTAAAAGAATTGTTAGTTTTTTCTGTCATGGTACGTGAGTTGAAAATTTTGAAGCATTGTGATTACTGCATTATTAATTCGAGCTATTGTGAATTTCTATATTATTCGCCATTATTTCTGACAAGTTCTATAGTGAATGGAGCCAAGCGAATAAGAAGAAAATATGATAAAGCGTCTGCGGCACTAGTCAGTGTCATTGCAATAGTTGTCAAGTTTAGATGTGGTAAAGAGTTTTAAGTTGTAACGTAATTATAGAACCGGGTAAGTTTATTTATTAATAAATGCAACTTTACTACAATGTTTTTATTACGTATAATGCATTTCAATGTAACAGTTTTAAAGAATCTAAAAAATAGAACAAGTGAAGTTATGTTTTTTTTTCGTTTTGACGCGCGTAGGCGTCTTATCGGTTTCTGATTTTAATTGTAAAGTATTTTTCGGCTTGAGACATGTGAGTATTCTGTTTGTGTTTTTTAAGCAACTTAACACCAATAGAATGTGTTTTTCTTGTTTTTGCTTTATGCTCAATTTTCTTTCCTTTCTGCGCGTTTTGGAAAATTTAGTTAAAAGTGCAAACAATATTTTAATTATTCTAAAACAAAATATTGACAATAAAAAACTTTCTAAAAAACATTTAGTTTTTATTTAGAAAGTTATATTTTAAAAGAATTTTTCTAATTAAAGAAACAAAATTGAAATGTGATGCTGTGTAAATGCGGGCAGTGGGCGCCATGTTGACAACATTAAAATTCACAAAAATTCTAATTGGATTTGCTTTGCTTAATGGATTGTTTATTGGAGAATTAAAAAGTGGATTTTTCGAGGATTCTTATTCCAGCGCTTCTGGACATTTCATCCAAT